AGTCACAGAACACCTTTAGAAATAGAAAGATGGTACATTTTAAATTCATGCAAAATATTGCAAAAATAAATTACAAACTACAAAATTTAAATGAAAAACAACAACAACTNTTCTCCCCATTGAACACAATATATTTTACTTTAAGAAACATTTATAATATTTTAGAGCAGTAAACATGTCAGAATTAAATTAAACTTTAACAGTTTTATATCTTGATCTTTGCTCCTTTTTTAATTTTTAATGTTATAATAAAAAAACGAAAATATAAATTTGAGTGTATTCATTTTGGAGCGTTATTGTAAGTTTTGTTAGATTAGCTCCAGATTTGGCTTTAGTACTGACTAATCAAATGTATTTGCACAAATACAATATTGTAAAGCTTCCTGTAGAAAATATTAATCTAAATATTTGTTGAGCACTGCATTTATAAAAAGTAGATACATTTATATATGTAAATATATCAATAAATGTGTAAATAAAATAAATTAATAAGGAATATATTCTGGTAAAATACCATTTGATACTGTTAAAAGGTTATGTGCAGTGCTCTATTGTGAATTGCGAGGTCCCAGAACAGATCGGGGTGTGTGTGTGTGTGTGTGTGTGTGTGTGTGTGTGTGTGTGTGTGTGTGTGTGTGTGTGTGTGTGTGGGGTGAGGGGAATCGGGGGGGATCGGTAAAATGAGGTGAGATTTCAGAGGCTCCGGATCCGGCTTTCTCCGGCACAAATTAATCTCTGGTTATGTCTATATTGATGAAAAAAAAAATGCAGAAAAGCTATTACTTGCTCATTTTTAAAGTTTGTAATTATTTTTCTTACTATAATTGTTTATGAATGAATATTTGAGCATATTAAATATCAAAGTAAAGAACCAAGCATCTGCTTTTAAACAAACAACAAAGCCGTCTCATTCTGTCTTCGTGTATGTTTTATCTCCACCTGAATGCAGACAGGTTTCAGCAAAAATACAACATTTTTAACAAATAAAGAGATCTGTATAACTCTTCATCTGTGCATGCGATCTGATCCACACCACCGTAACAATGTCTATCTTGCAGCTATTTTTGTGCATAATTAATGAGCTCAATTTATTTCATCATGTGGTCTTCAATTAGCTCTTCATGCTCTGTGATATAAGATCCACTCAAGCGAAATCTGATGAATGTTGAATATGTTTAATGTTTCTTATAGGCTTGAGATGTCATTGATCCTTATTCATGTTAAAATATGTGTATTTTACAAAGTCCTTCGCCATCTCAAACATCGACAGATCTGAATTCAGATAATGCTAATTACACTGATCTTTTGTCCTCAGTAGGCTTATGTTCTAAATGTTTAATTACATAAAAAGTAAACATCTGAAGTTAATTTAAAGTTCTTTTTCTGTGAAACTGTGAAGTTTAAGTAACAGAGATCTGAATTTTCCTGCCTGACAGAATTCACTGGACTGAAGTGTGTGAGCTGATGTTGTAAATCTGCAGAGTTGTAACTCATGCTTAGTTGTTGTTGTTCTGCTGTAAACTTGACGTATGTGTTTATTCCCAGGATCCTCTCTGTTCTCCAACATCCCCGGTCACCGTCTCGGCTGTTACTTCTGCAATGATGTGGTGGCTCCTGGAGACGTGAGTTTAATCAAGCACTTTTACATCTGTGGTCAAATCAGATTTTCCTCAGGACACTTATTATATTAGGAAATCAATATTGCTGAAACTGATCAGTCATGTGTTTAAGTGACTGGACGCCTGGAAATCATATCCAGAGGCAAATTATTAGCACTGGGAAAATAAATAGATGCGTTAAATTATTCTGAGACCTTCTGAATGCATTGCGGAACAGAATCTGCTGTTAAACACTATCCTAGAGCGCCATCTGCTGTTAAACTCTATCCTAGAGCGCCATCTGCTGTTAAACACTATCCTAGAGCGCCATCTGCTGTTAAACTCTAGCCTAGAGCGCCATCTGCTGTTAAACACTATCCTAGAGCGCCATCTGCTGTTAAACTCTATCCTAGAGCGCCATCTGCTGTTAAACTCTAGCCTAGAGCGCCATCTGCTGTTAAACACTAACCTAGAGCGCCATCTGCTGTTAAACTCTAGCCTAGAGCGCCATCTGCTGTTAAACACTAGCCTAGAGCGCCATCTGCTGTTAAACACTAACCTAGAGCGCCATCTGCTGTTAAACACTATCCTAGAGCGCCATCTGCTGTTAAGCACTATCCTAGAGCGCCATCTGCTGTTAAACTCTATCCTAGAGCGCCATCTGCTGTTAAACTCTAGCCTAGAGCGCCATCTGCTGTTAAACACTAACCTAGAGCGCCATCTGCTGTTAAACTCTAGCCTAGAGCGCCATCTGCTGTTAAACACTAGCCTAGAGCGCCATCTGCTGTTAAAACTAGCCTAGAGAGCCGTCTGCTGTTAAACACTAGCCTAGAGTGCCATCTGCTGTTAAACTCTAGCCTAGAGCGCCATCTGCTGTTAAACACTATCCTAGAGCGCCATCTGCTGTTAAACACTAGCCTAGAGAGCCATCTGCTGTTAAACACTAGCCTAGAGCGCCATCTGCTGTTAAACTCTAGCCTAGAGCGCCATCTGCTGTTAAACACTAGCCTAGAGCGCCATCTGCTGTTAAAACTAGCCTAGAGAGCCGTCTGCTGTTAAACACTAGCCTAGAGTGCCATCTGCTGTTAAACTCTAGCCTAGAGCGCCATCTGCTGTTAAACACTAGCCTAGAGAGCCATCTGCTGTTAAACACTAGCCTAGAGCGCCATCTGCTGTTAAACTCTAGCCTAGAGCGCCATCTGCTGTTAAACTCTAGCCTAGAGCGCCATCTGCTGTTAAACAATAGCCTAGAGCGCCATCTGCTGTTAAACACTAGCCTAGAGCGCCATCTGCTGTTAAACTCTAGCCTAGAGCACCATCTGCTGTTAAAACTAGCATAGAGCACCATCTGTTGTTAAAACTAGCCTAGAGAGCCATCTGCTGTTAAACACTAGCCTAGAGCGTTATCTGTTGTCAAAACTAGCCTAAAGCGCCATCAGTTGGTAAAACTAGCCTAGAGCGTCACCTGCTGTTAAAACTATCCTAGAGTGTCACATGCTGTTAAAACTAGCGTAGAGCGCCATCTGTTGTTAAAACTAGCCTAGAGCATCACATACTGTTAAAACTAACCTAGAGCGCCATCTGCTGTTAAACTCTAGCCTAGAGCGTCACATGGTGTTAAAACTAATCTAGAGCACCATCTGCTGTTAAAACTAGCCTAGAGCCCGTCTGCTGTTAATACTAGCCTAGAGCGCCGTCTGCTGTTTAACACTAGCCTAGAGCGCCATCTGCTGTTTAACACTAGCCTAGAGCATCACATGCTGTTAAAGACTAGCCTAGAGCGCTGTCTGCTGTTAAAAAAATTGATGATGCCCCTAAAAAAGAATCATCTTCCAAGGAGTTTATTCATCATGTAGCCAAAATTAAACACACTTATAAATTCATCAGTCGGTGATTTCCTGATTGTCTATTGATGTCTTTTCCTCGTGTTAGTCCACCAGAGACCGGACTCTGGACCAGCAGTGTACAGTGAGCCGCCCGGGTCTGGCCATGATTGCTGGAGCTCTGGCTGTGGAGCTGATGGTGTCTGTACTGCAGCATCCAGAAGGGTACGAGCACCAACATTTACTACAGTGTACACCAGGCATAAACAGTTTGTGTCTGACTGTATGATAACCTCGATAAATAAATCATAGTATTGTAATTCCTGCACTAAAACGTTCTTTTTAAAGGTCTAGGGTAAAAAAAACAACAACTTTTCTCCCAATTGAACACAATATATTTTATTTTAGGAAACATTTATAATGTTTCTTAAATATAACACAGGTAAAAAGTACAAATTACAAACATGGCAGACGGGCATTATTAATCTGCGGCTGCATCCACAATATGGAAGGAAATTACATATTATAGAAATGTGCAACATGTAAGTTCTGTTAATGGCATATTCAGCATTTACTTTAGATTTATGTATTTAATATGTTCAAACTATTATTTGATAAGTAGTATGTCGTATGTCACTAAGTATGAAGTGGTATGTCCCTAAAGCTAGCACACTCTTCCGTTACACACTCAAAAGTATATACTTTATCTTTACAAAATAAGTACATACTTATAGGATGTAGTGGATTGATGGATTCACACCAGACGTGGCACGCGTGGAAAAATATCGCTATTCGCGCGTAAATAGACGCATAAACATTTTGAGTTTACTTACTTCATTCAGGCGTGAAATTAAGTTCACAATAGATTCGCATCATGGGCCGGGCTTCTGTCCTCCCAGTGACCCTAGCTTCATTGCTGAATGGCTAACATGGGTTTTATTGAGAGAATAGCTGTGTTATGTGCTTTAGGAAGGCTGAAAAACACCATCAATTCGTTCGGCGCCGTGTCTAGTCCACTAGATCCACTCAGAGGAGCACCAGCTCTATGAGTTCATCAATGTCTCCAGAGACTATACCTGGATGATGGAGGCTTTCAGCGGTGCCTCTGACTCAGCTGAGCCCAGTTTGATGAACTGTTGTCCGGTGTTGGCAGGAGGATTTCCCCCCAGGACTCTAACAAAATGTGCTACGTCATAAGCACAGCCCTACAAGAGAAAGCTCATAATATGATCATGTTAACGTGACACGAATGTCTGCTGAAATTTAGATTTTTCCAACTTGATCGATTTCAACTCGCGTTAATTGGATCATTCCTGCCTCATTCGCGTGTATCGCGCCGCAGGATGTCTATTCACGTCTTTGCATTGACTTAACATGTAAATCACTCGCGCTTGATGCTTTCTCCCCATCTGGTGTGAACGCAGCATAAGAAGACGAATTGAGACTTAGCATTAATCAGTTTGACCAATCAGCAACAGTGCACAGCAGCGCTCAACCAATAGCGAGAGCTTGAGGGCGGGGCTTTCTGACTGGCTGCTTTAGTGGGCGATTTAAATATTCAAAAGATGAGAATCGTCAGTACTTTTTGCCTCCACAAATGTCACACTTTAATCAGCTCATGCTATCTTAACTTTGTTTCTGACTGACTGAAACGCAGGCCTGGAAACAGCAGTAATGTCATATCTGAAGAGCGGAAAGCCTGCGTTTTTTCCAGATGGATGAGAGGAAAATGGAAAGCTTTCATCCATGTTTACTGTTCAAGACAGAGACTGAATCTGTGCCCTAGATCGTGCTGGTGTCGTCCTGATGCATTACGCTGTTACAGAGCGCTGATAAAAGCCTTCAGATAAGAGCTTCACAACTGCAGGGGGTTTCGGCTGTCAGACAATTCACAAAGCACATCGTCTAGAGGAGCGCACAGTACACGTCAGTTTAGGTCACAACTCATCGTATTAACAAACCATTAACTTAAAACATCTGTAAATTAGCAGTTTTCTGTTTTTATTTTTAATTTCTCCCATTTATTTCTGATTTGGAGTTGCATTGTGGGATCTTGATCTTTCTTCCAACAACTTTAAACCTTTAAAAGTTGTAAAGGTGTGTGTTCTGCACATGTGTAATAGTCTGCAGTGCTATGTAGTGTGTGTTGGTGTTGTATATTACACTACAGAAACTTTTTCTAATATTTTCTGCTGTTTTACACACTTATTTCTCTATATATTATTTATTACACATTATATTATTATTTTAAACTACTAAAATGTCAATGAAAGTCACTTTGTTAAACTGCAGAGTTGAATTTTCTTCATCAGAAGTGGACAGAGCAGAAATCAACATCCCATAATGCAATTCACCACCACAAATAAACATAAAATGAAGAAAAATAAACACGTTATATTTTCACATGCAGCATGTTCTGCATGTTGCCTTCATATGCTGTGTTCATACGTTGCTGTGTTGTTAAGTGAGTTTGCTCTTTAAGCATCACCATGTCTTTACTACATTACAAGCTACAAACCTGGTAAAATGAGTGAAGGTCAGCAGCAGAAAGCGGTTATTTTGCCCTCCCGGTGTGCTGATGCTGGGAAAACACTCTGAGCCTGTCTGAAACCCCACACAATAGGGCTGCACAATATTGGAAAAAAACTGTTTATATATATACACAGACACACATATACACTCACCGGCCACTTTATTAGGTACACCTATCCAACTGCTTGTTAACACTCATGTCAGCAGCTCACTGCATTTAGGCATGTAGACATGGTCAAGAGTATCTGCTGCAGTTCAAAGCGAGCATCAGAATGGAGGAAAAAGGGGATTTAAGGGACTTTGAACGTGGCATGGTTGTTGCTGCAAGACGGGCTGCTCTGAGTATTTCAGAAACTGCTGATCTGCTGGGATTTTCACGCACAACCATCTTTAGGCTTTACAGAGGTCAGAGGAGAATGGCCAGACTGGTTCCAGCTGATAGAAAGGCAACAGTAACTCAAATAAGCACTCGTTACAACCGAGCTCTGCAGAAGAGCATCTCTGAACACACAACACGGCCAACCTTGAGGCGGATGGGCTACAGCAGCAGAAGAGCACACCGGGTGCCGCTCCTGTCAGCTAAGAACAGGAAACTGAGGCTACAATTCACACAGACTCACCAAAACTGGACAATAGAAGATTGGAGAAACGTTGCTGTCTGATGAGTCTCCATTTCTGCTGACACATTCAGATGCTCGGCTCAACAATTTGGCCTCAACAACATGAAAGCATGGATCATCCTGCCTTGTATCAGCGGTTCAGGCTGGTGGTGGTGGTGTAATGGTGTGGGGGAGATTTTCTTTGGGTCCATTAGTACCAATTGAGCATCAACGCCACAGCCTACCTGAGTATTGCTGCTGACCATGTCCATCCCTTTATGAGCACAGTGTCTCCATCTTCTGATGGCTACTTCCAGCAGGATAACGCAGCATGTCATAAAGCTCAATCATCTCAGACTGGTGAACATGACGATGAGTTCACTGTACTCAAATGGCCTCCACAGTCACCAGAGCTCAATCCAATAGAGCAGCTTTGGGATGTGGTGGAACGGGAGATTGGCATCATGGATGTGCAGCCGACAAATCTGCAGCAACTGTGTGATGCTATCATGACAATATGGAGCAAAATCTCTGAGGAATATTTCCAGTAGCTTGCTGAATCTCTGCCACCAAGGATTGAGGCAGTTCTGAAGGCAAAAAGGGGGTCCAACCCAGTAATAGTAAGGTGTACCTAATAAAGTGGCCAGTGAATGTATATTTATATACATTGTATATATACCAAAAGGTTTAAACAGCTCTACTTGTAAATAATTCATAGTTTTAGATTGATTTTGGTGATTTTATAGTGGAGCATTTCTGCATAAAATTTATTTAAAAAGACGAGCAAAGTTTAAACAGAGCACAGACACTAATACAATAACAATGATTTGTAATTTTCTGCAGAGCTGAACACTATTTACCTTACATTTGGCTGTTTGAGCACTGTTTTCCACAGGATTTGCAGTGAGGCTTGGGATTAGTGGAAGGGCTGAGGTCCTCGTAAACCACATAAACAAATGTGTGTGTGTTTGTTTAGGGGTTATGCAGTGGCCAGCAGCAGTGACGATCGCATGAATGAACCTCCGACCTCTCTGGGTCTCGTCCCTCATCAGGTCAGTTATGAGTTTTTCTTTTTATTAATGAACAGTGCACTTCTGTCTCATATAATTACCCTGCTGAACCGGTGAGTGTTTCCCGTCTCATGCATTGTGTGGAAAACATCATCCAAACATCATCAGCCATGAAATCCACTCCTCTATCATTATTTGTATGTATAATAGGATTGGACATTGGACTCATCTCACATGCTGATGATAAATAATCTGTCCACACACTAAAGTGAGTAGCACAAATGCTAATATTTGGTATTTAGCAGTGTGTGATTTTGAGCTGATGTGATTTCATAGCCAGGACACTGAAATCCTACAATCAGCAGAATGCTTCACTGCCTGCGGTGTGGCGAAATCTCTTTTATATAATAGAGAGCTTTAATAATGGAGAGCTTTCATCACTTGTTGCTTTCATTTCAGATCTAAAAATGTTCCCGTCGTGCTGTTTACTTGCTTAGATCAATAAATAGCCGGTGCTGCGAAAGTCATTGAAAACCTTCCCTTAAATCGGTGTTTCTCCGCCTCGCTCCTCCAACCCGACCGCACTCCACATGTTTCTCTTCATATGTCAGGTGTGTTTATAAACTGCTTACCAACATCAGGACTTAAATCAGTGCGTGACGGATTTTCAGATATGAATATGAAAACGATGCACACAGAAATTCCACACTTCAATCGAGAGTTACTGCTCAGGATGAATACATGAACCTTTACACCCCTAATATTTATACTACAGAAAGCCATACGACAGTGCATTAGTGTGCAGTTTGGGATGGTCTGCACATGCTCAGTAGCGTCCAGCGGTGTGTGACATTCAGACGGGCAGCAGGCGGCATCTGGAGCCCTGTGAAGAGCAAACACACACACACACACACACACACACACACACCTCGTCTCGTTTTATCTGTCAGCTCCACTTCTCAAAGCCAGGATGATGTGGCAGATAATTTCCTGCAGTCTCACGTCCCCCCCCACACACACACACACTCCAGAGCTGACCTTCAGGGCTCTTTGTCCACCGGCAGGAGCCCGTGCATTTGTTCTGCTCATTCACACAGCAGCAAAGTGTGTTTTAGGCTGGACAAATCAGCTTGTAAAATGAGACTAGAACAGTTCAGGATAATCCGACACAGATCATCATCACTGACAGAGACTATTAAAAACACAAGAGCCCGCTTGTCTAACTTTAAAGGTGAGCTTTGATGAAAATCATCTTCTGTGCGCTGTTTGGACAGAACTGTGTGTAGATATAGTGTCT